CGTGCTTGTTCAAAGACTTCATTAATAACGATCTAGTATTCCGTTAAAGAGCAATTTCATCCACAGAGTTTGCTAGACGAATTTTAACATTAATAGGGCCTATACTTTTCTCAATCACGAGTGTGTTACAAAATTTAGTACATTTCAAGTGCTATATAAATTACCAGAAATATTAATTTAAATTTTGAAGAACGTGAGACGGGCTTCATTGTGACTTGTTACATATAAAAGAAAGGACTCGGACAATGTATGAAATTTAGGTCCCTTCCTCACATACGTCACTTAACAGTTTGTAAAAAACTGAGACCTTTTTTTAAATTCCATGCACACCGAAGTCTTCACTTCTCTAGTATATCAGAAATTTGGAAATTTAAATTTGAATTTGAATAATGAGGTTCCTATCAAAATACGTCTGCTGGAAGAGCATAAATTTACTATTTTAGGTGTACCTACATAATGTAGTTATCTGGCACATTACGGAACTTCCTTTCAATACTTTACACCTCTAGCAAATCGTGACTGGGCATTTTAGTGGGAAGTCATTTTAGATCTGATGAAATATATCTGGCGAAACATTTCGATCTGAACCCCTTTGAGATTTACTGTTCTGAGAGGAACATTGTGTAGCAGTACATGTTTTTACCTCAGAGCATGATGTTCAGATGTCTTGTCACACACACACACACACATGTGTGTGCTGTTCTTGTATATTACGGGACACTGGAATACATTTATTAGTCTTTTGAATATATGTCGAGACTAATACGTTTAAATAAATTTCGACACAGCGCATAAATCAGCTCGGTAACAACTTCATAGCATATTTATGCTTGCCGCCCCTCCCTCCCCCCCTACACACACAAAACATGACGCTCAGTCTTCAATAATAGCGAGTCAATAATAATTCTAATAGTTGTGCATCCAAATATGCAGTAAGATTTTTTTTGATTATGTAACAACTTCTCTTTAAACAAGAGGCAGGATGCTGCTATCAAAGTTCGGTCTATCTCGAGACTTATCTTTTTTAAGAACACTCTTTATCAATACCGAAAACTAATTACGCATTATTAATACCGAATACGGCTGAGGACTCTTCTAAAGAACTGAGAATTCCCAGACACTCGGGATATCTCAACTAGCATCAAGGACCGTAGCACCGCCACATGTTATTCGGCCGCGTCACCGCCAAGGTTGTCGCCCCTCGATTGCCACGACTTAGATCAGGTGGTCAGCACCGCCCAAGGCTCTTCAAGCCACCTCGCGAACGGTCATCATGCGGACAATAGAGCTCCAGAGTCCGAAGGCCACGCCCTCTCGGATTGCCCTTCCCCGTTACCATTTTCAAATCTCAGCCCGCTTACATTCCACTCCAGCCCGACTTCAAGAACCTCTTAGCCTACGTCTTCAACGACGCCCTCCCTTCCACGGAATGCACTTTTGCCCCAGAAGCAGCCGCCCATCACTTTAGCCAATCCTCTTCCAGATTGTTTCACTCCCGATAAACTATCTAAACTGCAGGGCCCTCCACACATGGAGGGAGTGGCAGAGCAAGAGAGAAAATGACTGAATGCATTTTAAATGTGAAATGAATAACATGAAAAACTTACCAGCTTTGGAAACGAGGGAAAGGGGGAGGACTTCGAAAACTTTTAAGGCCTTGCGATTTCTTAGTTACATGGACATTTTATCCTGTGCTCAAACTGCTCCCTTCTTTATGAACGCACCACACCCGAAGCCATCCAATTCCAGCCCGGTCTTTTCCCCGGTACTCTAGGTGGCGTCACGCTCGCGCTGCGTCATGGCACGTCAAACCCCTTGGTTCAGGCGATACGGTACAAGGTGGGCGTATGAGTCAAAATGAATTGCGATACGTAGGACCTTGAAGGGAAGGAAATGGACAGTATAACACGTGAGTCACAGGTGACAGGAAGCAAACGGAGCTGGAGATGACAACTTCGGCCATGGAACCGTCATTTCCTTGCCAATTGCCGGACGGACAATGACCTGCATACGTCTCATTTTCCAGAGTGTACTTTCCAATCACATTCTTAAATACAGGAAATCCGAAGAACAGTTTCCAACATATTTTAGGAGAAAATTTCGCACACATCTGGAAAAATAGTCCGAGGAAATTATTAGCTTACACTCCACCTTAGAAATTACGAGACATTTGGAATTCCTATTGAACTACGAGCGCGCACAGAAGCGGGAGAGGCGTGTCCCCTCTGAAAATTTTGAAGGATGCCCACTAGCCTTACGTAATGAAACATTCATGGTCAATCCTTTATTTTCACATTTTTAGTGGAATAAAGAGACCAGAAATTAAGTAGCAAATTTTGGGCGGCGCACGCCAATGCGTATTGATAAATATTGACTCATTTAATCATTCTCACACCTTCTCTCACGCAAATTCAGGCTTTCACACGCTTGTGCTGCTCGCCCGAAAAAAAAAAAAAAACTCCACTTCCGCATCCCTAGGTGGAGCGAGGCACGGCGTGGCCAACGTGCGGCGCGGCGCCGGGAGACGAAGGAAAGGAGATCGGTATTTCCCCGGCGGTAAGTGCTCTACTTTCGTGCGCGGACATCCTTCGGGCTGGAGCGGAAGCAGCTCAGCACCACTGGGCCTCGGCCTCAGACCCAGGCTCACGCCCGCACCCGCACCGGTGAGCCAACCCTGGCCGCTCGCCGCGAGGCGCCTCGAAGGCCGGGTGGCGGTGGCGGTGGCGGCATGCGGAGCCAGGCGGCGCGCGGTGCCGTGCCGCCCGTCCACTTTCCACGGTCCACGGTGCCTCACCACGTAGCCGCACAACACCTCGCAATTCGCTCACATAACCCGACGAGGAAGACAGTTCGATGGTTCGACTTTTACCTTCGCTTCGTCACGGGACTGGACGATGAATAGCCGATGAATCAATTCTCTATGCTGACATTTCGCTGCACGTAATAAAAATGCAAAAAATCTCCCATCGTTGGCAACAACAGTTCAATGAAGGTAACCTGCAGAAAACGCGATTGAAACTAATGGAAATTATTTACGAAACATTAATTCAGATGACCTGATGTCCCTCAAACAGAGGCAAAATAATTTTTAACAAAAATGAGTTACAGATTTTCGTTAGTGTGGATATGTCTTGATAAAGAAAATATTGCAAATGTAATTACAATAAGAACTGCGCCTGAAGTAGTAATGCAGGACTGGAGACATCCTTATATTAAAGTGTCGTGTGCGCGAGTATTGAAATCTCATTCAATTCTGTCGATCTATCGGGAGCCTTTGTTTTCTGTCCATTTCTTCTTCAGATACTTCAATTCCCGTCCTTCCTATAGTTGGTTAATAGTCTAATCCTTATTGTACCTGCGGAGATATATCAATGTGCAATAGAACCCCAGAACTATCTTCTTCCAAGACGATTGACAATAAGTAGCTATGATACCTCGTACTATGCAAGTGGAATATTCAAAGCACCATAAATCTTTAAACACTGCCAATAATAAATCATTCGGAGTTTTCGTTAATACTTTACTATTTAAACTACTGAAATTGTCAGTGCAAATAAATGGCTTTTCATCTCCATTACAATTTACGTTGTGTGATTAAGTCTCTGAAGTGCACGCGGATGTTCCTTATTGTAAACTAGAGTGCACTGTATGAGAATCACAAGCCTTCAGTGAGTCACGAAAGCTTGCAAGTGTTTATAAACACGTCATAACAATCTATTGTATTCATTTACGTGCGACCAAGTTCTTGTTTATTTTGTCCGAGTGTGTCAAGAACAATTTCAAGTTGCATCAATTTAAAGATAAGGTTTCAGTACTTCTAGAACGATCTAATAAAGATTTGTTACTAACCTTAATTGCCTAGTATGAGTAACGCTTACTTTTTCCGCTCAATGCGAAAATGCGTATACATAATGCGTAGTTGCGCAATGTGGCGGATGTTTTTTCACAGAAACTTCTGCGTTGTAAACGTGTAGAAAGGCTACAAAAAACAGTTTTTGGAACGTATGGGAAATTAAAAGATCTTAACAAGTCGTAAAACATTTCCGACCCCCCTACGAAAAATCTCTTGCACACACCCATGACGTTTTACGCTACGGATCAATGAAAATTCGGGAAGAGCACGTTATGATAAATACATTGTCAAGGTTACTCGTTTAACCCTGGACGTCGCATTACTTCTTAAAACAGCCGTGGTTAGCCCTCTTAGCCAGCATTTCTTTTGCCAGTGTAACCTGGTTTAACTTTTCTAAAATCTTACGAGACTTAGATAATGAAGGTATAATTCTTGACAAAATAGTGTAAGTCTTCTTAAGTTAAATATGTCCTAGTATAAACCAAGTAACATCTTCCCTAAGTCCTCACAAATGAGTTGCTCACGTATTTGGATTTTAAAACCCTACCACGGTTAACTGATAGAGAATTGCTTTGCAGCTCTGACGTTTACGATTTTTCGTTTTTTAATTAAACCCAAACGTAAATTTTCAAAACTAAAGAAATCCTCAAGCCTTGAGACTAGCGCACTTCCTCCCCAAAATAGGTGTACAGGGAACTAATTTTGTTTCTACAATCACAGAAAGTGTTAGCGACTGTCATGGCTGGGAAAACAGTAGAAAATTATCTGAATACAAGTTGACCAGTAACTTTCAAGAATTCTTCTCGGCCAATGGAAAGTGTTTGTCTTTTGTCTCAGATGAGGCCAGTAGCCTTGTATTAAAATTGCCCAGGACATCGCGTATTGAGAAGCCCGCATGCTTACATGGACGCTGCGATAGATGAAGTCTGCGTCACTCAAATACGACTACATATTGAATTAACCTTTATTTGGTGTTAAGAGTCACTAGCGATCGTCAGGGTGTAGCAGATCGTCACGATTTGCTACCGTTAGTCCTAATTGAATTTAGGACTTCAATTCAAATTCAGGTGCACATGGAAATTCGGAACAAAACCTGCGCAGATGTACTTAACTGCGCAGAAAGAGGATTTATGCATCGAATACTCACATGGTCTTCCCCGAAGCAAGCGATGGTCTGCGTGTTCGCGCTGTCGTGAACGACGAAAGTGCCGATGGGCATGAGATCGTCGGCGGCGCGCGCCTGCAGGATGAAGCCCTTGTAAGGGAAACCCTGGCGAGAGGTGATCGTGACGTTGAGCGGCTCGCCGCGCGCGCCCTGCGCCGCCGACAGCGCGAAGGGCGAGGGGCCCGCGCGCGGCACGTTGTCGCTGTGGCGGGGCAGGAGCGTGGTGCACGTCTTGTTGCTGTTGGGCGCGCCGATCTGGAACGCCCGCACGGCCTCCTGCGGCCCGCCTGCCAGGAGGACCGCTAGCAGCAACGCGGTGGCGGCCACCACGCTTCGATCCATCATCTGCCAAGGACAAAACAACAGGGTGGTGAGTTCCTTTGTCTCCAAACGGAAAACAATCTATGTTACTATTGAATTACTATTAGAAGAGTTTGGCCGTTGCGTTTTTCGATACAGTCATTAAAAAGTTCACGAAATAAAAACAATCGCATTACAAATTCAAAAGTTTATATTTCTCATTCACCAAAACTATGTTGTGCGACGTTTCCAGGACATGAATTTCTCCATTTTCCTTATATGTCATGCTGAACGTGCGTTTACGAACACCTTTACTTATTTAGTTTAATGTATTAATTATTTTTGTTGATTAAGATGAGCAAACCACGTCCTCGAAACGTTGCGCAACAAAATTTTGGTTAGTGAAAAACAAACCTAATGAAATATCAAGGGCCAAACTCTACTGAAAGTAATCTTTTGTCTCTTTAATAATGGCACTACTTTATCAAACTAATTTTGTTTTTTAAAATACTAGGGGTAGAGTTCCCAAAAATACATTTTTAATTTAAATACCCTCGAAAATCAATCATTTTACTCAATAACATGAAATATCTTAGCACCGATTTATTGCTCATCCATTTTATTAAAGAAACACGTTGCACTACTGATGAACAAGCTCAAGATTCTCTTAAATCTTTCGAAAAAAAAATAGCAAAAAAGTCCCTAAATATAGAAATAAAATCTTTACATATCCAGCTCAAAGTACTTGCTTCACAGAATGGGCAGAGTGTTCCGCCATTTCTGTAACATGATGAAATGTCAAACAAAGTAATAACTAAATGTATTGCCTTCGAAACATCGTCTTTGTATCATTCCACTGCCATAAATAAAGCACCTCTTTACATTTTAAGCTATACTATGTATGATTGGTTTATTTTTCCAGCAGTAATTACTCTTATTTAGACAACTTACAACTATATTCCCACCCAACAACACAAAACTGAATAATAACTAAAAATGCAAACAAGAGTAGCACTCAAAATACGTAATTCTTTGTGTTATGAGTATCGATGATTCGATAAATGAAGTTGTAAATTTTAAAGCGCTCTGGAAGGTGCATTACGTGCCTTCAAGCTCACGAAATGTTCTTTCGGATATAATTTCGTGGTACAGTTTTCTCGGAATAGCAGTGGAGTTGCTCAAAATAATTTGAGAATAAATTGTAAATAGTATACAAACACTGCACGAGTTAATGAAGTATCATGTTCATGACGCGTTGTTATTGAAAACATTACTCTCATTATTTACTGAAATATTACGGAAATTAGTTTTTTCGATTTCAACACCTTAAATGCAGGTAACGTCTGTTAAACACTCGCCCACGTTTTTACTGTAGGAGATGTTTTGCCACAACCTTCTGACATTGAAATACAAATATTTATTCAGAGGTAGTGCTATACCAAATATTATAAACATATCGAGCCACTAAATAGTATGATCTGAAGGTTTATGCAACAGCGTCATAAAAAATGTACACTCCGAAAAGCATGAAAAATTTAAGACCAACATGTTCAAAAGGAATACGAACTTTTGTTTCATTCCACGATCAAAAAGAATCGGAACTTTTGTTTCAATTACTGGTATTGCCAGTAATTTAAATTTAATGTGTCCATTTTTCCCAATTTTGGCATGACCCTTTTGATGACGATAGTCCCTCCGTGAGGTACCAAATACATGGAGGTCAAGAAAACCATTCTGGGTGAAACATAAAATTCAGGAGCTATGATTCCTGCATCTGAATCTTAATGTTGGGAGATAGCGAAAAGAACGACCAGTCAACCAATCGGGAGAAAGCCGTTTGCTCCATTGCGTTATCATAAGAGTTCATAAGCTGAACTTTGTTAACAGACGCACGTGCACCGAAATTTTCTAACTTGTAGAAACTAGCTACATGCGGGTAAATTTTCCTTCCGTTAACGTACTGAAAGGATTTCCACCATCGATTCCTAAAGAGGTAAAAGTAACAGAAAAACAGTGAATAGTTAAAGATATTTCAGTTTCCGCACAATAGATTAAGAAATTCGCATATGCCATTTAGGATGACCCAATTTAGCGTGGTTCACAGGCTGACGGAATACATTTCTCACTCAAAGAAAAAATTATAACAACGCTATAATTGGTTGAATAAACCTGTTTGTATGAAAAAAGGAAATATAAGACTAATCTGATGCCTGATTAAGTAAATTGTGTGCGCAGTTACTTAACAATCGTCCATGTCGCTACAGTTCACGGTATGCTAGTTTGAGCCGTGTTTAACTGCTAATAGGAACTTCATATAGGAATGTTGGCTGTGAACATTTTTTCTCTGTGGAAAAATGGGTAGGGGGTAGTGGGTGTAAGAATCCAGGCCAGGAAGAGAGGCGGATCCTTGACATTTTTCGGGCCAGGACGACTCTGATAGACCCCATGAGGGTGCCTCCAGCGCCTGCTGCGTGTGTTTTCATTTCGCCTAATGGTTACTCCGAGGCACTTGAGCCGCCACCCACGTCCAATGCCGCCGCACGGAGAGCAGGCCTCAGCGACAGCCGCTCTGCAGCCCAGCCACGCCGCCCCCGTCCCCCACTGAGGACTAATCCAACCCTCCACAGCGCGAACGCCCCGAATCTGTTCATAACTATGAACCATCAGTATCTATCTGAAGTTACCATAAAAAGTCACTATTGCATTACAGATAACTTTAAACTTTCAAACGAAACCAAGTCTAATGATTTAAAGAAGTGTTCGAAGTTGTTTGTTGTGAATATAGGCGAACTGTAATGCGGTAGTCACACGTGTGTCAAAGATTAATTATTTGCCAAATAATAAGTATGTAATCTTGGGGCGAAAAAGATTGCTATTTCTTATCCCTGATCACAATGCGCTTTTGCCAAAAAGTAACCTATGATTATTATAAACGATTACGATTATAAACTAAAATTTAAAAAATCAATATTTTTTAAAATTTCGAACTAAATTCGAATTATTTGCCTCAACTTCGTACGAACATCACTTCCGGAGCGAGTAGCATATACATTAGTCCAGGCAGCATGTTGTCAGCGGGTTATGTGAAACTGCCAAGGACTGTGCCCGCGGATTCTTTTTCTACACTCACTTCTTACTTACACACTACCCTACCACACACGGCACACACAAGAGCAGTCGGGAATTTAAGAGGTAATTCCCGCTGAGGACACCCCCCCCCCAAGCCGACGGGTAGGTCGTGGGCCTCTCCAACCAGCAGGGGAAGATCTCCGCCACCACAGCGACAAAACCTACACTGTACTTACCGGTCTAAACCCTACCAGTTGCCACGCCCGGTATCACTAATCAATCCTTTCGAGCCATTCGAGCTAATCGAGCCACCAGCTGTTCGGGTCCTCCCCTCGCCCGACTTTTTTTCCCCCTCCCAGGAGCCGGCGGTGGGGGCGGAGGCGGACGCCGTGGCAGGCGAAACAGGGCGAGGAGGGAGGCTGCGGAGCAGAGGAAGGGAGGGAGGGGCACACGGCACAGGAAGAGCGCGCGCCGCCCACAACGCGCCTTTGTTCCTGGGCTGCGGGCGCCGGTGAACACCCACCAGGACGACGGCGACGGAGTCTGGCGGCTGACGCCAGTCTGACCCACTGAAGGAGGCGACGGGAAAACGTCCGCCCTTCGAGACCCACACCCCTAGAACATTTGAAGTAACCACTTGCAATTGTTACGTTTGCCAGTTACGCTTGTTTTCTAAACTATATTTGGAAATAGAACTAATTATCGTGATTTAATGAAGGACGTTATTCTGCCAAAGATTAATGACACGCCTCGCCTCACGCTTCAAACGTCCGATTCAAGAACTTCCAGACTGCGGGAGATCTAAACGCTGAAGTCCCACACAAGTGGTCTTTGTATATATTCTCCAACATTTTCTCGCGCCCCTTATCCTTTTGATTGCCAACAACCCACTCCGCGTTCTTCAGAACGAGCATTCGTTGGGCGAGGTCGCGACCTTTAATACGGACTACTTCTCCATTTGCTTCTCCGCAGAGCCACCCAACGGAGCGTTTCTGCGGAGTCGGAAGCCGGAACGGAACCGCAGGCGGCGCGGCCGCACAGACAAAGACTGAAGGGGGCGTTCACTGAAGGTCGACGGAGGCTAAAGAGACCACGCCGATGCAGGCCGCGAGTAGAAAATTAGCGACTGGTATAAATTGTAAGAAAATGAGCGAACTAATGAAGATAGTCTCAGGAGTATTACCGCACAGGCCTGATAGGCACTGGCCTAGGGCGGCAAATTTGAAAATAGTATATATTATACAAGTTTCTAAACACAGATTCTTTAATTTAATAATAATAATAATAATAAATCATTTTACAAACTTATACATTAGTATTTAATATGTAATTATAATAGGTAATTTTTTTAAATCACTAATATTTATTTATAATGAATAATTTAAATTAAGTAGTAATCCAAATATTGTCGTTTTCACCGTTTAGATAGATTTGTACTTGCCGCGCTACATTTTGCATAAACTGATGTTTTGCATGGAGCGACTGATACAAAAATCACGATTCTATCTAAGTCGCATATGCACAGGGACTATTTTCTAAATGTTACTCCATATTGTGGTAAGCTGAATGTGACTGAGCAGGATAAATTATTTAGATGTCAAAAAATATCTGTCTAATCTTATTTTTCTCAGAATTTTTCGAACAACATATCGCTCGAATATAGATAATGAATTTGCTCGAATAAAGCTCAAAAAGTTTGTATCTTGATCAATTCTCAAACTGTAATTCTATTTAAAGAAATCAGACTCCTGAATAATGTACTTTTTTATTTGATAAATTCAAAAATATGGAAAATATTTTTGTATATCACTAAAGTACTTTCATACATTTGCATTTGTTTTTGAAACATTCGAAAATTGTGCTAGGGCGACAAAATTTAGTTGGCCTATGGGAAGCAAATTTGTTAATCCGCTCCTGGATAGACCTACTTCCAAGTCTTGAAACGTGCAAAGTTGTATGGGTCATACAAATACATT